ATCGAACCCGGGCCGCACGCATGCCAGGCGAGCGCGCTACCGCTTGAGCCACATCCCCAGCCCAAGACTTTTTATACTCTTTGTCGATTTCTTGACTTATTGTGTGTGTTCTACCAGTCGATGTTTTCCATAAAAGCCAGGTCGTGTTCACCTCGTTTAGCACCAAGTCTAGCCTGCAGTAGGTTCGCGAGAAATCATTTTTTTGAGTTTGTTGCTCTCTGCCTGCCTCGGATGCGATGGTTCCAGACCCCACGTGGGGGCGCCCGCGGCCAACCACAGCATGTGGTGCTCGCCCCGCGCAGGCGCAGTAGTCGCCCTTCGCGCAGGCGCAGCTTCATTCCACGGCGCCCTGCGCAGGCGTAGTTGCCCCAAGACCTCCGCAGGGTTATCCGTACCCGGCACTCAGCTAGCGGAGTCCTGTGCGCCATGCCCGACACCTGGGACAAGGACGTGTACCCCGACCCCCCGCGCCGCACGCCGGCGCCCTCCCCGCAAACCTCGCTGCCCAACCCCATCACCTACTTCACGAAGGCCTTCGACCTCCTGGTGGACCGGCCCGTGACCCTCGTGAGAGGTACAAGCTCGGGGTTCTGCCTGCTCGCGGGGACCCCGGTGCCCCACACCCGAGGTCCCCGAGCTCCGCCGCCTCCTTTGGCTTCCCCACTGCTTCGCGGACCATTCTCCGGGACCTCCCCCGCCCCCGCCCCCCGGGTCGCTCCACCTTTCCCCGGGACGCCACTCCCTTGGCTGCGCCCTGTGCCTTCTATACCAGGACCCCTCTTTGCTCTCCGCCTCCGCCGCTTGAGAGGCTCCCTTAGTGTCTGGTCTCCGTCATAAACCGGGGTGTGTGTGTGGGGATTCTTGCTCTCGCAATCAACTGAGTCCTTGGGCCTGTTATGTCCCAGGCCCTTGCAATGCAAGTGACAAATGGTTGTAGTGTAATGGCTGAAATGCCCAAATTCGCCATCTCTGGTCCTAATTAGAAAATGTTCCATGCAACTCTTTGTGGTCCTATTTGCCAGCCTTCTGGTCAGCAGCAAGCGCTTGCTCTGCCTTGTTACAATTAAGCAGCTCATTCGTTCATTCGTTCAACCTTAAGACATTTGAGGTACATAGCATACTCAAGTGGGTTTTTTTTTTTTTTCTTTTTTTCCTATATTACGGTCTTCCAAGTTCTGGGGATTACTGGTTTGGGGGTTATGTGTTTATTTGGCACTGGGGATTTAACCCAGGGGCATTTTACCACTGAGCCACATTTCCAGCCCCTGTTTTGAGACAGTCTTGCTAACTTGCATGGGGCCTCGCTGAGTTGATGAGGCTGGTTTTGAACTTGTGATCCCACTGCCTCCGCCTCCCAAGTCCCTGAGATTACAGGTTTGCACCACCACTCCCAGCAGGTTATTTATTTATTTAATTTTAAATTATATATATACATATTTTTTAGTTGAAGTTGGATAACTATAATTTTTATGTGGTGCTGAGGATCGAACCCAGGGCCTTGCACCTGCTAGGCAAGTGCTCTAGGCTGAGCCACAACCCCAGCCCCAGGTTATTTGTTTTTAAGGCAAAGAAGTCTTGCTACATTGCCCAGCCTGGCCCTGAACTCCAGGACCCAAGCAATCCTCCCGTCTCAGCCTACCAAGTCACTGGGTCTGGTATTCTTTGATTAGGGAGTGTAGTATAGCAGATGAGTCAGGTCCCTCTTTCTTTCTTAGAAGTGGTTTTGGGGACTCAAGGACTGAACCCAGGGGCCCTTAACCACTGAGCTGCATAAGCACCTGGTGTTTTTTATTCTTGGATGCATGAACTCTTTAGTCCTGCTGGTTAAAGCTACCAGTGTAAACTTTAGGCCTGGAGGTCATTGCAGGAGTTCTGTTGGTGCCTCTTGCCTAAAGCGGGGTTCCTGGGCTGTGGGAGAGGTGGACTTGTAGAACTGGGTTCTGAATCCTGCCTTGCTCAGTCTCATTGGTGAAGACAAAGGGTTGTTCTGGTCACAACCTGTGATGATGCAACCGGAGATATCACCACTTGTAGCCTAGTCCTTTACAGACTGTGCTGTCCCATACCTTCAGAGTCCAGTTTGCTGTTTCTGTAAAAGCTTCTAACATTTAGGAAATACCTCCACCCATCTATCTAAACTGACATGTAAATTATCTGGTTTCCTTTCTAGAGTTTATAGAGCAGCAGCATGCCAAGAACAGGTATTATTACTACCACCGGCAATACCGCCGAGTGCCAGACATCACAGAGTGCAAGGAGAAGGATATCCTGTGCATTTTTGAGGCAGAAATGCAATGGAGAAGGGACTAGTAAGTGTATAGCAGGGAATGTTGAGAAAGTATGAGACCACTTCCTACTGTCCCATTATTTCCTGGGGATTCCTTGGGATGGCCTCATCCAGTGGGTATATCTCTTGGGGTTGGCTCAGATTTTGAAGACAAGGCTTTCACTCAATCCTTTGGGTACTTGCTCCTTTTTAGCAAAGTTGATCAAGAAATTGTCAACATCATCCAGGAGAGGCTTAAGGCCTGTCAGCAGAGGGAAGGAGAGAGCTACAAGCAGAACTGTGCCATGGAACTGGAACAGTTTGCCCAGGTGGCCAAGGCCTACCAGGACCGCTGTAAGTTGAGCCCTGCCCACCCTTTTTTGCCTGTTTTTTCTTACCCAACTTATTAGCCAATCCATCCACCATCTCCTTCTCAGATCATGACCTGGGAGCCCATTATTCTGCCAGAAAGTGCCTGGCAAAGCAGAAGCAGAGAATGTTGGCAGAGAGAAAAGCTGCTAAGGAGGCTGCTGCTGCCTGAGGCCTCTTAACCAACCTGCTGCATTGCTGAAATAAAGTGATTTAACTCTACTTCTGGTGGTGTCATTAGCCCCTTCGAAATTCCAGCTACCAGTTTATATGGAAGACAGAATCATTTACTAATGGGTTTCATTCACTTTATTATTTTTGTAAAAACCCTATGTTGTAGCCACAGCTGGAGCCTGGGTCCTCTGTACAGAGACTCTGGTATGGGTTTTCACAAGATGGTCAGTGAATTCCTACAAAGAAAAATCAACAGTTATGTAGTGGGAACACCATTCCCCTACAAAATTAAGGCTTTTCTGTCCCCCCGCCCCAAAAAAAACCTGTTGATAAGGTAGGCCATGATGTAAAAACAGTAAAATCTCACTAGCTAGACCAGAAATACCTGATAAGGAGACTTGGTGAACACAGTCTCTTTCCAGAGATCAGGGGTCAAATAGCTGTATGTCTTGGAGATGGCATCAAAGGTGGCCTTGGCTTCAAAACAAACAGAAGAGGGTTAGTGGCTAATAGCAGAGAAGCCCTCCACCCCTACAGAAGCTGTTGCACTCCTAGGAACAGAGAGGCCACTTAGGGGCAGATCTGCCGTGCATTAGGAGGGCCTTCCTCTCTCTCCCTTAAAATACGCCAAGCACACACTGCACCTGTGTGATTCAGCGGAGCTGAGAGAGGGTTCACTGGTGATTCCTTTAGGGACCACCTACCAAAATTGCCCAAGGTGGCAGTGCAGCCCCTGGCAGAAGTGTAGCAATCATCAATACCAGCCATCATCAGTAGCTTCTTGGGTACAGGAGCTGAGACGATGCCAGTACCTCTGGGGGCAGGGATGAGCCGTACTAGCACAGAACCACAACGTCCTGTCACCTAAGAAAAGCAAAATCACATAACAGGACCAGAGGGAAAATATGCTCCACCCCAGGCCCATCAATAACCATCACAGCTTACCTTGCAAGGGACAGTGTGAGGCTTGCCAATCTTGTTCCCCCAATAGCCTCTCCGCACAGGAACGATGGAGAGCTTGGCCAGGATGATGGCCCCTCGGATAGCAGTTGCTACCTCCTTGGAGCATTTTACTCCCAGTCCAACGTGACCGTTGTAGTCCCCAATAGCTACAAATGCCTGGGAAAAAACTATGTTAGGCGGCTGGTGATCCTCCACAACATTCATACACACTACCTAGTTCCTGTTGTGCCTCTCAAGAAAGAAAAGGCTACTATGAGGCCAATCCAAGGTCCAGAGGGGCTCTTTCCTCTCTCTCCCCTGTACGAAAGTCACACAGGCAAAACTTAGTGTGACCATGCAGAGTGGGGAGAGTTTTGCCCAACCAGCCAAGTGCACGACAACCCTAATACCTTGAATCTGGTCCGCTGGCCAGCACGAGTCTGTTTCTGTACAGGCATGATCTTCAAAACCTCATCCTTGAGTGATGCCCCCAAGAAAAAGTCAATGATCTCAGACTCCTACAACAAAAGAACCAGTGTGCAAAAGTTAAGTGTTTAGCCCTTGATTCACCTAGATTCCAGGTCCGAGGTGGCATTCTTTTCTATAAAACCGAAGCCACCTCAACTCTGGCGATAACCCATGTCAAAGGTGGACACCCACACAAGCGCAACCACAGGCTCAAAGTGCAACTCTCCCAGCCCCTACCAAATTAAGCTCCGGGAGGCTGGTCGTTCAGCGCAATACCTTGATGGGCAAAGAGAAGAGATAGATCTCCTCCAGGGACTTGATCTTCATGTCCTTGACCAGGCGGCCCAGCTTGGTCACCGGGATCCACTGCGGGGAAGGTGCCAGTCAACAGGGATACCTTCTCGGCGCCGTCCCCAAACGCGCCCCGCCCGGCGCCCGGGCCTACCTCCTTGTCTTCGGCCTTGCCTCCACGAGCCCCGCGGCCACGGCCCCGGCCCCGTCCACGGCCTCGACCGCGGCCTCGGAGACCGCTGCCGAAGCCTCCGCGGAAGCCGCCCCGGCCACCCATTCCGGGGCCCCCGGGACCTCCGGGACCTCCCGCTGCACCGGCGTCATCCGCCATTTGCTGCACCGAGAAACAAGAACCAGCCAATTAGCGGGGAGCTGCCTCTGTAGCGGCGTGGGAAATCCAGACACGGTGCATCGCGTCTGAAGATGCGATCGTGCGGGCTGGCCCCGGCCATCCGATGTCCGCGGATCGCCACGGCACGCGCCCCGTCCCGCCACAGATAATAAAACTACTCACGTGTTTTTCCAGGGAAGAAGAAAGAACCCGTCTCGGAAGGAGCTTTTATAGCAGGCCAAAAACCGCGAGATCTCGGGAGCCTCGCCCCGAGTGGCCCTAGCACCGCGAGGCGGCTACGATTGGCTCCGCGGCGCCCCGCCCTCGCCGCACTTTGCGTGCGCCTGCGCATCGGCTCTTGCCACGGCCCGGGCCTGCGCGGCGGGCGGCTGGGCGGACCCATATAAATGCACGCGCCTCGGTCCCGCGGCCTTTCGCGGATCCTGGGACCGTGTGCTTTCCTTATCTTTGGTAGGTCCGATTTGCTAGCCTGTCGGCAGGTGGCCGAGAGACCGGCGTTGGTTGAAAATCACCCTCGGCGCTGGCGGTGGCCGTGGGTGAGATTCGGCGCCCAGAGCCTCCAGGGGCCTCAGCTCGCCGCCCACTACCAGTGTGGGAAGGCGAAACCCAGGCCCCGACATCCCCGCTGCGGCTACTCGCGCGGTTATATCCCTGGCCAATCATCCCTGACCCCATCTTCTCTCTCCGCAGGACACGGATCTCCCAGAGAACTTGAGGCCGACGCCGCCAGGACCTTGGGGGGTCGTGGCAGAGATCGGTGGTCCCAGCGTTTCAAATAAAGCTGTTTAACTCGGGATGTGTGGACGTTCTTGGGGTCTCCTACCTGCCGGAAAATCGAGCCCTAGTAGTGCGTTTCTTCCTGGGCTAGCCAAATTGCTTTCGGATACCACAAATGTAGGGCTTAGGCACGTGTCTTAAGTGTCAGCCAGATTGGGACCCTGGTCTGTCTGCCTGTGTAGTGGAGTGAATTTATCAATCCTCAACAGTGGTGCTCAACCTACATGAGCATGTATCTCTAGGTCTTTTCTCAGGTCTGCACAGATGATAAACACTGGAAGGGAGCTAGCTGGTTGCCGGTGATATAGTTCTCTCTGCTATGGAGAACCAATTGATCAACATCTGAAGACCCTAAGCTTTTGGAGTTCTCAGTGCCTGGGCAGCACCATCTGAGAAAGGTGCAGCTGTCCCTGTGATCCTACTGACCTTGGGGAAACAACTCTTAAGAGTCTAGGTTCTCTGTGCAAACCTGCTCTGGGACCAGATGTCAACCTTGACCAACATAGAGGGTCAGTGCCCACACCTGAGTTGGGGCTGCCCTAGTGTTTACATTCACTTTGGGCAGTACAGGGCTACTTGCTTTCCCAGCAGGCCCTGGACCAGAGTTGTTTTTTTTTTTAAATATGTTTAGTTGTAGATGGACACAGTACCTTTATCTTTTTTTTATTATTATTATTATTGGTTGTTCACAACATTACAAAGCTCTTGACATATTTCATACATTAGATTAAAGTGGGTTATGAACTCACAGTTTTTACCCCAGTACCTTTATTTTACTTATTTATAATATGGTGCTGAGACACAGTGCCTCACATGCTAGGTAAGAGCTCTACCACTGAGCCACAGCCTCAGCTCTAGACCAGAGTTTTGATTGGCCTGAGCTGAACAATGCCACTGTGATGTCGGCCCACACCTGCTGTGAAATGGAGGCTCCCGAGCCCCAGGCATCAGTGGAGCTGCCGTCCAGATACAGATCATGGTAAGCCTAAGGCCCTCATTTTTCCAGCCCTAAGATTTATGCCAAGCTATCAGGGATTGACCCGATTCCTCAATCAGAAATGCTTGGCAGTGGGTTACAGCCCCTACAAGGAATGAGGAAACCTCTGGGTCAAACAGCCATCTCTGCTAGGGATTGGTGGTCCTGGGGAAACCTTGACCCTCATGGCTGTCTTCCACATGAAGAGAGTTCTCATGTGGCCTACCTCCCCACCCAAACACTTGGGTATGTGGAGTTGGGGGCCAGAAACTGGTGCCTGCCAGGCTCTGATACTGGTCTGACCTTTGCAGAGTGGCGGGTATGATCTCAACCTCTTTGCCAGCCCTCCCGACTGCAACTTCCTGTGCTCCGTCTGCCATGGGGTTCTCAAGAGGCCAGTAAGGTTGCCATGTAGCCACATCTTCTGCAAAAAGTGCATCCTCCGGTGGCTAGCCAGGTGCCACTGGGAACCCAAGGGACTGGGAGGGCAGGTGTGAAGCCACTCCTGTGGTCCAGAGCCCAGACTTTCCTAAGTCTGCTGAACACTGGGTTCCAATAGCCACAAGATGCTAAATGTGTGGGTCTTCTAACCCTGTAGTGTTAACAGGTCCCAGCCTTGGGGACCCCCTTATACCTCCTCCAGCAAGAGAGACCATTTGGGTCACCCCTTGAAGATCTGTCCCTACGGTCATGTCACTCTGCTTCCTTCTCACCTCACACACACACTTGCCTCCTTCCAGACAAAACACCTGTCCATGCTGCAGGAAAGAGGTGAAAAGGAAAAAGATGGTCCATGTGAATAAACTCCGGAAAACCATTGGCCGCCTAGAAGTCAAGGTAGCTCAAAGTACCGACTCCCATCACCCTTGGGTGGGGCAAAGCCAGGGCCAAGCATGCCATCTTCAAAGAAAACCAAGTACAGCCCAGGCATCAGCAGACTTGGCTAAGTTTGAGTCATATACTACTTACCTGTGTGACCTTGGGCAATTTACTTAACTTTTCTGAGCCCTTGGGGCCTCAACTATAAAATGGGGATTCTAGAGAATTTTCAGTGAAGTGCCAGGTGTATGGGCTTTAGTCTCCAACCCCTGATTTTACAGATGAGGAAACCAAGGTTAAAAAAAAAAAAAATGCCCCGGGTTGGGAATGTAGCTCAGTATTAGAGTGCTTCCTCAGCATACGCAAAGCCTGGGTTCAAACCCCAGCACCACTACCATCCACACAAAACAAAAAGTGTGGCAAACATACCAGACTAACCCAGCTATACACCTCCGTGTTCAAGACTCGGGCCTATGGCCCCTCCTCTAAGCACAGAAGTTCTTCCCACCTACCCATCTGTTCTGGAAGCAGAAAAGCTTGGGAGGTTCCTAGTCTCCTGGTTCTTGGTCAATGGTCAGATACGGAATGGGAGGAGAGGGTGGGGGCCAGGGAAGAGCCAGCTGGCAAATTTCCAGCCTGGCCTGGTCTGGCAGGGCCCAGCTAGGTTCGCTCACATGGAGGTCTTTCACACCCCCAGTGCAAGAACGCTGAGGCTGGCTGTTTGGTGACATGCCCCCTGGCCCATCGCAAGGGACATCAGGACTCATGCCCCTTTGAGCTGATGGCCTGCCCCAACGAGGGCTGCTCTGCGCGAGTGCCACGTGGGGACCTGGCTGAGCACCAGCAGCACTGCCAGCAAGGTGGTGAGCAGCTTTGCCTCTTGGGCTGCGGGGCCACCCTGGGCCCAGCTGAACGTGCACGCCACAACTGCTACCGAGAACTACGCGAGGCCTGGAGCGAGCGCCAGGAGCGCAGCCGGACTCTGCTGCTAAGTCTGCTGCGGCGTGTGCGCCGGGTGCACCGCACCACCAACCTCATCCGCCGGCAACTGGCCCAGCTAGGCAACTTCCTGGAGGAGGATGACGCCCTGCTCCTGGGCACTGTGCAGGAGACTGAGGCCACCCCAGTGGGCAGTACTGACGCTGAGGTGTGGGGGTCACAGGGCCAGCGTGCCTTGTAAATACAAGGGCAAATAAATGCTGAGCCCAAGCCGGGCCTATCTCACCGCCTCTGTGCCTGCTAGCCTCATACCCTGTGCCCATTCCCCAGGCCCCCTTGCTCTTCATTTGGCTATTTCTTTTCTCTCAATGTCTCTTCTCCCAATCTCAACTCCAGTTGCTTCCTATCAATTTGTTTTACCAGTTTTGTAGCCTGTAGCATGAATGGCTCAAAATCGTTAACTCAGTAAAAGCCAGTTCTCAGTAGCTCAGGAGGACCTGCACCCTCTCTGCACTCCTGTCCTTTAAGAATATCCTCTGGGGTTGGAGATATAATATAGCTCAGTGAACTAGCGCCGGTAGGCCCTGGATTCAATCCCTAGTACCACAGTCTCCTGTGCAATGGCTCCCTTAGCCACACTGACCTCTGCACCCCTAAGCAGTGGCTGTCCCTCTGTCCGAAACACGATCTCCAAAAAAACTACTTTACTTCAATTGCTCTGGTGCCCCCTTCTCAATGAAGCCTTCTGCACTGCCCCCATTTAAAACTGCACTTCTGCCCTCTGCCTAATCCCTTGCTAACCTACATTTGCAAAACCTTAGCCTTTAAACTAGTGTAATTATCCCCTTCTTCCCAGACCAGCCCTTGCCCCCACTTCTGCCCACTGGAGAGCAACTCCAGGGCAGGAAATTTTTCTTCCTGGGGTCTCCAAGGGCCTAAGGCAGTGTTTTGCATACAGAAGGTACTCAATAGAATGTCTCTGGAATTACCCAATTGGATTGAGTCCACCGTGCAGAAACTGGCTCTTGGCTCTGGCTCTATCCAAGAAAGGGGGAGGAAACACTTTCAAATGCCTGCCCCACTCGCTAAGTTGCTCAGGCTGGTCTCCAACTTGCGATCCTCCTGCCTCTGCCTCTGCCTGAGTCGCTGAGATTACAAGCATGTGCCACCGCGCCCAGCCATGGAAGTTTCTTAGTCCTCAATACCAAAAAATAAACTTCCATAAATAAGTAACGTCACGGGCAACCGGAGCACACTACCTATTTCCTTTGCCGGGGCTGCGCCCCTCCACACCCCACCCTTTAGACCGGAAATTCGCCGGCTTCCGTTTCCGGACGCAGCAGCAGCAGCTACTGCCCACTGCAAAGATGGCATCTGGTGCGCTGTGCTGATGGCGTCACAGAAGTCGCAGACGGTGACACCATCAGCAGCGCGACGGGAGTGAGGAGTGGCGCGCCGGTCTCCCTCACGCGGCGGCGGCGGGTCCTGGCGGCAGGGACGGCGGCGACATGGCTGAGGCCGCGTCCGGAGTGAGCCGCTTCAAGGCGAAGTAAGCCCAGCGCGGGAGACGGGTTCGCTGCAGGAAGCGTCCGCGGCGGGCCGAGCGCGCGTTCGGGTCGGAGAGGCACCCTGCCTGTGGAGTCGCGGGCCAGGCTGCGGTGGTAGCAGGACGGTCGGCACCACCTGCCATGGGGAAGGGCGGCAGACCCGGCGCAGCGAGCGTCGGGTATCTAAAGAGGAGCCAGTTTCAGGGGCGTGGAGTGGGGACGAGGCGCCCCGCGGGGAAGGGGCGAGCTGAGCGTCTGTCGGCACAGGGCCGGGTGGTCAAGGGAGACGGGAACCACCTGTGATCCGGCTTCTCCCCGGAGCCGGAAGACAGGAGGTGGGTCCCTGAGTCCGGTTTTCATTCAGTTCCCCAGCTTGTGCTGCACAGCGACAGCTAGAGCTCAGTGCCTGTGACACACAGCTTCGTGGCACAGATCATTTCCATCCGTGCCTCAGGGGTTTGAGTTGTGACAAGCACCAGCAAAGGAAAGGCTGTGCTGGCAGCACTTCTGTTGGGGGATATCTGGGTTCAGAGAATAGGATTGGTTCCATCTTGTCAAGCTGGCTTCCCAGAAGGGAATTTAGCTGCGTGTTGGAATTTGGGGGGACCCTGGTCATATGCAAGAAGCAGAGGACCTGTCCCAAGGGCTGGGCCAGGAGAATGAGGCAGCAGTGTGGACTGTGAGAGGAAAAGTTTGCAGGAGCAAGGTTTGGAAACATGTAAAGAAAAAGAAGGTTTTAAGTAGGGCTGTGACATAATCGGTTGTTCTAAAAAAATAACTGGTATCACCAGACACAGTGGTAGACTTGGAAGGCTGAGACAGGAGGATTGGAAGTTTGAGGCCAGCTTCAGCAACTTATCAAGGTTCTGAGCAACTTAATGACACCCTGTCTCAAAAATAAAAAGTGGTGGACTCTGGGTTCAATCCCCAATACCAAAAATGATGATGATGATGATGATGATGATAACAACAATAACTGGCATCAGGGCATGGTGCCATCAATTCAGGAGGCTGAAGCAGGAGGATCACAAGTAACTCAGGGAGACCCTGTCTCAATAAAAAGGGCTGGGGATGTAGCTTAGTGGTAGAGTGCCCCTGGGATCAGCTCTCCCAGTGCTACAGGGATGGGAGAATAACTGGCAGCATGATTGAGAGAGTAGGTAAGGTGCCCAGAAAAGAGACTGGAACTGCTATCCAGGGGAGACTGCAATACCCTGGACCAGGGTGGAGGCCATAGAGAGGGAGGAGGCCGTAGAGAAGGAAAGAAGAAGACAGCATGAGCGAGGTCACAGAAGTGATACCTGCCTGGAGAGTGAGATCAGGTGAGGCTGGGCCTACAGAAGGGATCCAGGATGGAGAAGGGGTGTGCTGAACTTCAGGAGTTAAGACTGGAGAGATGGCACCCTAGGTCCTACAACCTGCAGGGGACCTCCAAGGCCCCTACTTAGGAGACTGGGCTGCCTGGCTGCATTCACCTGAGTCAGGCTCACCTCTCCATGCTGCAGGACCCCACATGGATCACTAATCAGTGCTGGGTCTCAACCTGTCTGTAATACAGGGGTAGGAACACCCACCCACAGAAAGATGCCCAGGAGTTCCACAAGGGAAGGGGTTTGGGACAGCACCCAGCACAGGGCTAGGCACTGGGGGCTAAGGGGGTGGCAGTTCTTTACTCACCTGGTTCTCTTTTTAGCTATGCTATTGAGCGCAAGATGGAACCTTTCTACAAGGGCGGGAAAGTACAGGTACCAGCTCCAGGGACAGGTGGGGTGGTGGATGGGGCAGGCAGCAGGTGCCCAGCATTGCCTTGATTGAGACCCTGTGTCCAGCTGGACCAGCCTGGCCGGCACCTCTTCTGCGTCTGTGGTACCAGAGTCAACATCCTGGATGTGGCCTCAGGGGCTGTACTAAGGAGCCTGGAGCAGGTAAGGGCAGGTAAACAGGTGGGAGGGGGAGGTAGGAGGGGCAGCCCTTTCTCATGGTGCTGTGTGCTCTCGTGCTTTCCCTCAGGAGGACCAAGAAGACATCACTGCCTTTGACCTCAGCCCGGATGATGAGGTACGTGGGGCAGGGGTGGGAAGTGAGCTCTGTGGCCTCCCTCCCACATTGCATGTGGACAGAAAGCTCACCTGCCAGCTGAACTGCACATTCCCCAGGTGCTAGTGACAGCCAGCCGGGCACTGTTGCTGGCTCAGTGGGCCTGGCGAGAGGGCAGCATTACCCGCCTATGGAAGGCAGTACACACTGCTCCTGTGGCAACCATGGCCTTTGATCCCACCTCCACACTGCTAGCCACAGGTAGGGCCTCAGCTGGGCAGGTGGGCCGGAGGGCGCAGGGCAGAGGCTTTGGACACACCAGTTTCCCTTACTTCAAATGTTCCTGCAGGTGGTTGCGATGGGGCTGTGCGGGTCTGGGATGTTGTACGGCACTATGGGACACACCACCTTCGGGGCTCTCCTGGAGTTGTGCAGTGAGTTGGGGCAGTGCAGAGTGGGTGGACAGAGGCACCACCTTTGGGCAGCACAGCTCACCCATCCCCCACCTGCCTGCAGTTTGGTGGCCTTCCACCCGGATCCCACTCGCCTGCTGCTCTTCTCCTCAGCCGCAGACGCTGCCATCCGCGTGTGGTCACTGCAGGACCGCTCGTGCCTGGCTGTGCTAACTGCCCACTACAGTGCTGTCACCTCACTGACCTTTAGTGCTGATGGCCATACCATGCTCAGGTCAGTGGCAGACCATGCAAGCCCTGGGAGGAAGTGAGGGCTCAAGACAGTGGGAACTGAGAATGGACTCTGGAACTAAAGGGGCTTTCTCTCCACAGCTCTGGACGTGACAAGATCTGCATTCTCTGGGACCTTCACAGCTACCAGGCCACAAGGACTGTGCCAGTGTTTGAGGTGGGGGCACCTGTAGAGAGGGCCAGTGAGTTGGACAGGGGATTGATGGGGGAATGGCAGCAGTCTTTGACCCAGCTCATCCCTAGAGTGTGGAGGCTGCTGTGCTGTTGCCTGAGGAGCCAGTTCCTACACTGGGTATGAAGAATTCAGGCCTGCATTTCCTGACTGCTGGTGACCAAGGTGTGTGGGGCTGGCCACAGGCTGACCACAAGAGCTAGGGGAGACCTGCAAGACTGATAGGAGCCCCTCTCCCACTGCACAGGCAAACTGCGCGTGTGGGAGGCAGCTTCTGGGCAGTGTGTATACACCCAACCACAGCTGCCAGGCCCTGGGCAGGAACTGACCCACTGTGCCCTGGCCCGCACTGCTGGCCTACTCCTCAGTGTCACTGCCGACCACAACCTACTACTGTATGAGGCACAGTCCCTGCAGCTGCAGAAGCAGGTGAGTGCCTGTCCCTGGAGCCCAGGGCTGGAGACACCAAGCAGCTCTCCACTCCACACAAGTCCCAGCTTACGTTCTTGCCTCCCACAGTTTGCTGGCTACAGCGAGGAGGTATTGGATGTCCGGTTCCTTGGGCCCAAGGACTCCCACATTGTTGTGGCTTCCAATAGCCCTTGCCTAAAAGTATTTGAGCTGCAGACATCAGCCTGCCAGATCCTCCATGGCCACACAGGCAAGTGGAGCTCATGATACTGGGTTTGAAGGCCTCCTTACTCTACTGCGTTTTTGCCATACTGACTTCTGACCACTCTTCCCACTAGACATTGTCCTGGCCCTGGATGTTTTCCGGAAGGGGTGGCTCTTTGCCAGCTGTGCCAAGGTAAGGCCTCCTGAAATGTGGAGGTGCAGGGGAAGCCAAAGCAATAGGACTACAGCCCAGCTTCTTTCCTCAACTCTTCCCATCCCAGGATCAAAGTGTCCGAGTCTGGAGGATGAACAAAGCTGGCCAGGTGGCCTGTGTGGCCCAGGGTTCTGGGCACACACACAGTGTGGGCACCATCTGCTGCTCCAGGTAGGGGGACAGGGCTGGATCCAGGAATATTAGAGGAGATGGAGGCTCAGGCCTACTAATGGGGTTCCATTTCAGGGAGGGGAAGGTGGTGGCTTTGACCTTACTCTGAGATTCTAGGCCAGAAGTGGAATAGAGATCAGGTCCAGAGAACCCCGGGTTGTTATGGGCAGGGAATCCTCAGAAGTAGTCTTGGGACAAAGTGGACCAAGGAGGGAGTGAGTGGAGAATGAATGAACGAGGTTCAGGTGGAGAAAGGGATCCAACATTTAAGACTGGGGTCCATTTGCAAGGGGAGGACTAGAGGTATTTGGGGCAATGCCCTGGGACCACCTCTGCTCTGGGCCTTGGTGTGGCAGGCCAGACCTGTGTGGTGTGCTGGCAGACAGTGCTGTCCAGCCTTAGGTATCTCTCCTCTCCCCGGCTGGGCTCTAGGCTAAAGGAATCCTTCCTAGTGACAGGCAGCCAGGACTGTACGGTGAAGTTGTGGCCCCTCCCAGAAGCTCTGCTATCCAAGAGCACTGCCCCAGATGGTAGCTCCATTGTCCTACAGGCCCAGGCCACCCAGCGCTGCCATGACAAGGTGACCACATTGGACCCTGGGTGGAGACATGGTTGAACTCTTGCTATGGTAGGGGTCTGAGCTGCTGCCACCTGCTCTCTCACCAGGACATCAACAGTGTGGCTGTCGCCCCTAATGACAAGCTGCTGGCCACAGGCTCTCAGGACCGCACAGCCAAGCTATGGGCTCTGCCACAGTGCCACCTTCTGGGTGTTTTCTCTGGCCACCGGCGTGGCCTCTGGTGTGTTCAGTTCTCACCCATGGACCAGGTGCTGGCCACAGCCTCGGCTGATGGTACCATCAAGCTCTGGGCATTGCAGGATTTTAGCTGTCTCAAGGTAAGTAGCGTCCCCTGGCCTGGACCCTCCCATCTGTTGCAACCTCACATCCTCCCCACACCTCCCCACAGACATTTGAGGGGCATGATGCTTCAGTACTGAAGGTAGCCTTTGTGAGCCGTGGCACACAGCTGCTGTCTAGGTGAGACACTGGGCACAGGTGGGGTGGGGCAGGGTGGTAGGCAGGCCCCTACACTCAGCCCTTCCCAATCCCAAACCCAGTGGTTCTGACGGGCTTGTGAAGCTTTGGACCATCAAGAATAATGAGTGTGTGCGGACACTGGATGCCCATGAAGATAAGGTCTGGGGGTTGCACTGCAGCCAGCTGGATGACCGCGCCGTTACTGGGGCCAGCGACTCCTGTGTCATTCTGTGGAAGGTTGTGGGCCATCTTGGGGGCTTGGGTGGGCTGCGGGCCATCTTGGTGGCTTGTCTGACCCTCATCTGATCCCAGGATGTGACTGAGGCAGAACAGGCGGAGGAGCAAGCCAAGCGGGAGGAACACTTGGTTAAGTAAGTGGGAACCCAGTCCCAGCACCCCTGCTCTGTGGCACAGGGAAACAGGCTAGGTGGGTTCACTCCAGTGGGAACTCAGGCCGATGCTTATTGACTCCACCTTCAGCCCCAGCCCCTGTCCTTCCCTCCACCACCAGGCAGCAAGAGCTGGACAACCTGCTCCATGAGAAGCGGTATCTGCGGGCTCTAGGCCTGGCCATCTCCCTGGATCGGCCCCATACTGTGCTAACTGTTATCCAGGGTCAGTACCTGCTGCTCCAAGGGCAGGGGGCGGGAAATGAGACTCCAATGACTATTGATTCCCTTTCTGGAACTTGAGTGTCCTCCTCCCATAGCCATCCGCAGAGACCCTGAGGCCTGTGAGAAGTTGGAAGCCACCATGCTGAGATTGAGGCGAGACCAGAAAGGTCCTGAGCAGGCAGGAAAGGGCCAGTTGGGGGTGGAGGAGCAGGGCAGGGTGGAATGGCTTAGGAGTCAGAGTGTGACTGTCCCTGATGCCCACAGAGGCCCTGCTGCGCTTCTGTGTCACCTGGAACACCAACTCCCGGCACTGCCATGAAGCCCAGGCTGTGTTGGGTGTGCTACTGCAACACGAACCCCCTGAAGAGCTGCTGGCCTACCAGGGCGTGCGTGCTGCACTGGAGGCCCTACTGCCCTACACTGGTATGTGGGCATGGCCAGGGCCAGGGGCGGTCTTGTGGATGCCTGGACCTTCTGATCTCCTTCTGTCCTCCCCAGAACGGCACTTTCAGAGGCTTAGCCGGACTCTGCAGGCAGCCACCTTCTTGGACTTCCTATGGCACAACATGAAGCTATCCCCTCTCTCTACTACCCCCACAGCCCTCTGAGACACATAAAGGTGTACTTTTCTATCTTGCGTGTGGATCTGAGTTGTCATTTCCAAGGTCCCTGGTTTCAACCTTGACTAACCAGGGATGCATGGTCTCAACCCATGAGCCAGATCCTCTACTGCTTCAGCAAACAGAGACTGGATTAGGACATTCAGAAGTTTTTACTCAAAGGAAATGGGAAAGTGGACCCTCTTGACCTGCCAGATTGGGAGTCCCGCCCTCATCCACCCTTACTTATCCAGTGCTGGGGAACTACTGTCAGACACTCTTTGGGTCTGGGTCTGGATCATCTGGCCCAGGATTGTGATTAGAGTACATTGCAAGTCTCCTGGCAGGGTCATATACAGACTCAAGGAGGGCCCAGTGGTCCTGGAGCCCTCCCTAGTGCCCTGCGGGTAATGGTACAGCAGCGGCTCTGGATGGCACTCAATGGTGGGCGGGTGGGCACAGCAGGGGGAATAGTAGTGGCCTCCTCTGCTGTGTCCTCACCAAGTATCCCTGTCCCACTCAAGAGTGAACCCAGCCCTTCAGGCTGCAGCAGCACTGCTGGGAGCAGACCGGTCTTGCCACTGTATCTGTAAAGGAAGACAGGGCTTGGTCAGGGAGTGGGGTGTCCCTACTACTCTGGGCCCACCAAAGTCTTTCCCCTGCACACCTGCAGAGCCACCAGCCACGGTCTGAAGTTTGTAGCACACGAACTCGTGCCCCCACAGGCACTGAGAGCTCATCATCACGGCTGCCTTCATAGGCACGGGAAGCACAGAACTGGGTCCCTGGGGATGAGTGTTAAATTTATGGGTCACTAAAGCTGCAGCAATCAGAGTCCTACCTTCCTGTGGGCTTAGCTGTGGACACCAGGCACACTCTGGGCCCTTGCCACACATGGTCCATCATTGGTGGACCTAGGGGAAGAGAATTGGGCTCATACCGATGGTTCCCAGGTTCAGGCCTGCCTCTTTGTCCTGGCCTAGGGCCACCTCCTCCAGGTAGGGAGCTGGAAACCAGGCTGTCTGTAGGTCCTCATTTTCCACCAGCCACCAACCTGCATGAGAGGTGAGGGAGGGGATCAGATTCTAATGTCCACTCAGATTCAGAAGGCCACGGGTTCCTGTTGGCCCTACCTGAGGGGTGTCGCAGCAGCACATCCAGGCTTTCCTGGGCCCCTGCAAGGAAAGGCCTGCCCTGTGTATCCTGGGTGCGAAAGGGCTGCAGGCAGCGAAGCCTCTGAGCCTCCAGGCTGTGGATGGCAAGACTGTTGGCGGGTTCTGATAAAGGCTCCTCTGGGGCAGGCAGGATCACCAGGCTGAGAAGGGTAGCCCAAAGGTTGAGTGGTGGGAATGGGCCTGACACCCTAACCAGTCAACACAGCCTCCAGGCCTGCCTCTTCAAGGACTTGCCAACATGGGTGTGTGGGGGTGGGGTGGGGGTAGGTTAGGCACCTTCCAGGAGGCAGCACGGGCTCCAGGTCCAGGGGTTGCGGTGCAAAGAAGTTGGTGAGTGCCAGGCTCCTAGATACCCGCTCAGCAGTGGCCAATAGCGCCTGTGCATAGGTATCCAGCAGCCGCAGCCGTGCTAGGCCGCGGCCCGTGCGCCCCCCTCGCATTAGCAGTGGTGTGTCTGTGGGCACAAGAAGTATGCACTGTGGTGTCCCGTCCTGCGCCAGGCTATGCCTTCCCCGCTCCCCTGGGACCCTTGCCGGCCTGACCAGGAAGCCTAGGAAGAATGCGGTCAGATCTCCGCAGCAGGCCAGCCTCCACTGGAAAGGTGTCCTTGAGGGTCTTCTGCAGAGAAGAGGGAGACTTGAGACTACCAGAGCACAGTCTTTGGGAAGTTGGGGGTCCCTCTCGGGAATCACAGGGCTGGAAACCCAAAATGAGCAGGAAAGGTCTCTGGTGGTTGCCCAGAGGCCGCTTGCCCAGGTCACCTACTTGGAGCTGTCTGAACTCGCCCCAGCTCCTGCGCACAAAGGTGTTGCTGCCATCAGACCAGCGAACGGAAAAGGCGAACGTCTGGGGAGGAAAGGTGGGTACCTAGGAAGCTGGGCCTGACACCCCCAGCTTCTCCTCCCCCTTAGGACTAGTGGAGACCCAATGCTGTCGTACCTGGAGCCGCTGCACCTGCACCAGAGCCACCGCGCGCACAGACAACGGGTGCCGAGGGCTGGCCATTACTGGCTCGCCTGGCGTGATACCGGAGTGTCGAGAGCGAGAGCAGCAAGGATCGCGCCGCCTACCTGACCTTCAGGGGGCTCCAGCAGCCGGAAGATTGGCTTGAGGGGAATTCCCGCAGGTGCTCTCAGCCTGGTCTCTGCAGAGCTGCCACGCCTCTCCCCAGGTCTTTCCGCTTTCCTGGTTGTCTCCCAAGCCCAAGGCGGGAAGGAGGGTGGCCGGGGGAGGGGACAAAACCTGAAAAAGGGCGTTGGAGGGGAGGACCGCCACCTGGCACCCTCCCTCCTGAGTCTGATTCATCAAAGTGCCGCCTCCCCTGGCCCACTCGGCCTCTCCCCTCCCAGGGTGTACCCAATAGCCCTCTCTTTGAGTCACCTATGGAGCTCTGCAGTTGTAGTCTGGAATCAAGGACCCGGTGCTCAGGGCTTCAAGTGCATTCTCTGGCTTAATTTTAATGTGGGAGAAGGAAGGGTCTCCATGTTCCCAAGTCAGAAGAGGAAACTTAAGATAAATGGATAATTACTATGAGTTTCTCTGAATAGGTTTAGGGAGGGACAGACCTCATAAGCCAAAGCCCAGGGGTTCTCTTACAGTGGGGAGACTTGGGGCAAGATAAAGAAAGTCCATCTTTTGGTGACTTTACTTGAGTGTTGGGGAAGTAGTCACCAGGACTGTTTTGAGAACTATCTCTGAATCCATGTCACAACTTACTGTAAATATCATCTCTGTCATCAGGCCTATTTCCCTATCAGCTGGGGTGGAGGAAGCCCTATAATCCCTGGACAGAGGGCTCACCCAGGAACCTCACCTCTCTGGGCTGCTTCCTTATTGTGGAGATTTCCGGAGCCTGACCCACTCTGAAGCACAGAGGTTCTTCCTGGTGCTGACATCAGGATTCCCCTACTCCAGGCCCTCCAGAGATTTAGTTTCTGGGTTATCCCTCTATGAAACTATTTTGGCCTCAATAAAGGGTCTTTGTGTGTCCATCCCACTAGGGCTCTTTTTGAACCCCTGGAAACTTCCCTAGTCTTAGCCCAGGCAATGAATATGTGACAGTGGCAGAGTGCCTTCAGCTCGGCTGTCACCCTCCCTTCAACCTCAGCTGAGGGCATGCTGGCCTGGTGGGGTCCAGGGTAGGATAGCTCCTGCTCCCCTGTGTAGGAATCCAGCTTGACCTGATTACAGCCATCTTGGTCATTAACTCCATCTTTCCTCCCCCACAACACTGTCATATATTCCAAATCCTACAGGATTAATGAAATCATTAAAATGGACAAAACTGGGCATGGTGGTGAAAGACCCCCGTTTCCCTGTCCAAGGAGAATCACACGAAACACTGGCTGCAAAAGCATGAGGTGGTTTATTGAGACACAGGCACCTGCGGGTGCCCAGCAGAACCTCAGCCGGAGCTTTGGTGAGCTGGCACACTGGGCTTGGGGATACAGAGATATTTATAGGGTAAAGGGGCAGTTTTCGTGCATGGTAAGCAATAGGTTTCTTATTAGTTAATTTTAAACCCAGTATATAGGCTACCTAAAGGGCAAAGTTGTTTTTCACTTTATGTTACTGGAAAAACCACATAAAAGCTACATGTTTGCACTCTGGTCCTCTTGTTCCTGCTTATTCAGGCATGCCTTGGGACCTGGTTTACACCTAACTGATTATCTGAAAAACACCTCTGGTGCCTGCATAGGTTTGTGACATGCCTCGGTGGTTTTGCAACTAGGCCTGACATTGTTGGGCTGGGGTCTTTCAGTGGCACACATCTGAAATCCCATCTTTGAGATTATAATTCAAGGCCAGCCTGGGTAACTTCATGAGATCCTATCTCAAAAAAAATTTAAAAGCCTGTGGATGTAGCTCAGTGATAAGAGTGGCTCTGGGTTCTATCCCCAGCACCAGGAAAAAAAACAATCTGTTTCCTGCCAGGCACTTAGGCCTGGACTATCTCTTAAATGCTTGAAAATTTTTGAGACAGCCCAGATACATTCAAGTTGGATTTGGGTTATCTTTGCTGTCTTGGATATTAAACCCTTTCCTCTGTCTGAGGGTGCGGGAATCCTCCTGTCTTGCTTTTTATGTCAGTCCCTAACAAACTTCACTTTGTGAAATCCTGGATTCTCCCATCCAAGAACTAAGCAGGCCTGACCCCACTTACCTTCCTAGATTGGAGATCAGGTACATTAATGGTGGTTCGGCCATAGATTTGTCTGCTTCTTTCTTCAGTCTCAGCACTCTTGTCTTTAGTAACCAGATTTTTCAAAAACATCCTGGAACACAACAGAGAAGCTGGCGAAGTGTGGAGTATTCACAGCCATTGACCTTGAGGGATTCTGAGGCCCTCCTTCTGCACACTCCCACCAACTTTGGACCTTCTCCACTTTTTCTTCCCTATAGCCCCTACCTTCTCTCATTTGGATAACTGTAACAGTTCCCATCACTGTGGATGGCAAGGGGTCCATCACCTCTAAGAAATCCATTCTCCTCTGGGCATCATAGCTCATGCCTATAATCATAGCAACTCATGAGACTGAGGCAGAGGAACTGAAGTTCTAGTCCAGCATGGGCAACTTAGTGAGACCTTGTCTAAAAATAAAAAAGGGCTGGGATGCAGCTCAATAGCATAGTGCCCTTCAATCCTGCAAGACATATTGTAAAATAAAAAGGGGCTGATGGTGATGTAGCCCAGTGATAGAGGACTCTAGGTTCAATCCCCAGGACCACCAAAAAAAAAAAAAAAAGAGGATGATAAGGAAAAGGAGGAAGGAAATCCAATCTTTGTCAAACAGACATGAGTTCAGATCAAAGTGCCCTGCGCCGAATCATCCAGCAGCATCTTCCCACTGGTTTTTAAAATAAGTCTCAATTCCACCACAGCCAACAAGAAACCTGGTTGACCCTGGCCCACCAGCAGATTTCCCTCAACCTCCTCCTCCCTAGAGGCCCATTCTGCTGGCCTTTCTTCTCCTGCAAAATGCCAAAATCCCAGGCTTGTCCTCGAAGGGGCTGCTCAGCTAATTTCTCACCGGTCAGGCCTCTGCCTAAGGGTCCCCACCTCAGGGAGGTCTTCCATATTTCCTACACAACATGCATGGCCCACCACACAGTTTGCAAGTGAACATGTATTGGTGTGACTCTTTGGAGTTTTTCCTGTCTTGGTCACTAAACTGTAAGCCAAGAAGATTAGGAACAGCACCTTGTTCTGGATCCTGCCGGCTCCTGTATCAGTGCTTGGGATAGAGTAGGTATTGCAGATACTTGTGGAATGAACAAATGAATGCATGGAGATAAGGGAATATCCGAGGCCGCTGCCAAGTTGTTTTAACAATCCCTCTTGCAAGCCCTGCGCGGTGGTGCACTCCTGAAATTTCGGGAGGATCGCAGGCTCGAGGCTGGCTTGGCCAATCTATGGAGACCCTGTCACTAAATGAAAAGGGCAGGGGTACAGCTCAGCGCTGGCGTGCAGGAGGGCCTGTGTTCAATATCCAGTACAGCAAAACAAAGCAACCTTTAACCAGGCCATAGGATGCGGAGGACAATAAGCAGGCGCTTCCGGACTCGCGGCCGCGGCCCAACACCGCGTCGCCAAGGCCTAGTGGCCGTGACGCTGGCCGAGGCCCGGGCCCTAGCGCGCCACCTCTGTGCGGTCATGCCCCGCC